CGTCACCGTTCCAGGAAGGGCAGAGTGGGCGGAGCCACAGACTGACAACAAACAAAAGTGACGCTGTGATCTGTTCCGTGTTGCCGAATAAAGGGAATCAGACACTGAGTGTTGTCAGGGCCAGAGTATTGATCACACACAAATACATCAAATCATAATCTGATATCAATTATAAACCATCCGATCTATAAAATATTTACAGCTGAACTCCGGCCTTCCCATCAGGTCCTAGGGAACCCCTGATTATAAGAAAGCCCCCCCATACATTGGTGGTCAATGGCAAGAGCACCCCCCCCCCTCTTACACTGGTGTCAAAACTTATTCGGGTGGTCAATGGCAAGAACGCCCTACCTTACACTGGTGGTCAATGGCAAAAACCCTTACAGTGGTAATTGGTGGGAAGAACGACCCTTACGCTGGTGGTCAATGATGGCCACCGGCAAGCTTGCCCCCTTACACTGGTGGTCAATGATGGCCACTGGGGCAAGCTTGCCCCCTTACACTGGTGGTCAATGAGGGCCACTGGGGCAAGCTTGCCCCCTTACACTGGTGGTCAATGGCAAAATTCTGAAATGTCCGCAGCATAATGCCATACGGGACCCCAACGGGAGTGGGGGTGCTGTTTGTGTACTTAACAATCCAGGTTCAGGGGGTCCCGGGGTGCTCCACCAGAAACACAAAAGGCACCAGCAAGCCCCCCGCAGTATCTCCAGGCTACCAACAGACCCAGCACACCACTCGCCAGACTCAGGGCCAATCCTCCACATCCTTTCCTAGAAATGCTGATTCTATAAATAGTAAATGATTTTCTCTGCCAAAAATAAATCGTACATTTAAAAAAAACAGGAGATGGTGTCGGGTGGAATAAAGCCGAGGGCCCCGAGATACACCCACGTGCTGTACACAATCATCAGTGACCCTGTGCTCCGTCTATGCAGGAAAAACAACGGGCTCAGAATATTGCTGACCCCAGCAGCAGCTCACCCTTACCTCTCCTCTACTGCCTTCGGGGGTGAAGAGGACCCCTAAAAATGCTTATTGAGGGGTCCTTACCATTACAGGGGCCCCGTGTCCTCATACGGCCCGCTAGCATCATTGTCAATGAGAACATCTGTATTGTAAAGGTTGATCTACCATTGCTGGGGCCCCTAAGCATTATGATTGCCTGAGGACCCACTTTTAGACCCTGTAGAGGTTTCTGTATCATTACAAGGGCCCCTATCCCCCTAATGATTATCGTAGGGATCCCTTATCATTAGGGTGTTATTACAGAGGTCATCACAGGGGCCCCTTGACATCATTATCAGTATTATTATTGTTCAGGGGCCCTTACTGTTGACAATGTAAGACCCTGATATCCTTTTGGGGCCCCCGTGTCATTACTGAGAGTGAGAACATCGGTCATCGTATAAGTTACTGTATTATCACTGGGGCCCCTAACCATTAGATTAACCTGGGAACTCATTCTGTTTATAGTTGTTAAGGGGCCCCTACTGTTAGTAAGAATACCTGTCATTGAAGGGGTCGCTGTATCATTACAGGGTCCCCTAAACTTCGTTATCATAAGGGTTCCCTTATCATTAGGTGGTCATCACAGGGGCCCCTTGTCATCATTGTCAGTGAGAACATATGTCATTGTAAAAGTTGACCTATCTTTACTAGGGGCCCCTAACCTTTATGGTTATCCTGGGAACCCCTTTATGTTTTACTGTCAAGGGGCCCCTACTGTTAAAAGCCTAGGGGCCTTATAGGACCCTCTACCCTCATTGTGAGAACATCTGCCATTTCAGGGGATGCTGCGTCATTACAGGGGCCCCGAACTAAATATCATAGGGTTTTCGTATCATTACAGTGGTCATCACAGGGGCCCCTAGTGAGAACATCTATCACCTTAGAGGTCACTGTATCATCACTGGGGCCCTTAACCATTATATCATCCTGGGAGCCTGGATGCGATGGCGCCGGATGCCAAAGCAGCCAAATGCCCATGCACCGGCGTCACATGGGAGGAAAGGGAGTAGGTCACATGACCCCCAATACCTGGAAGTGTCGGGTATCTCTCTCTGCTCCTGAAGACAAGCAGAGCAGCCGGGGGCCAGACAGGAAGCGAGTATAAGCCGCTGCAATAGACCGGACGCTTCGACCAGCGAGTGTAAAGTACAAGTTCATCTTATAATGGATCGAAAACTAAAACGTTTGTTTCATTTTGGAAGTCGTTCCGAAGCGCCGGAACGTCTGTCTGGGAAACGCAAAAAAAATATGGCCGCTTACACAACATGCCGGTGTCCGAGGAGAGCGAGGGCAGGCAGGATGGAGCCCACCCAACCCCCCCAATCACAAAGGCGGCTCTACCTGCCAGAGGATTGGGATTTCTGTCCATCCACCCCCGAGATCTCTTCCAGCTCTGCCACACAGCACGGCCCTCTCTAGCAGGGCAGAGAACCTGATTTGTCTCTGCTGCAGTTGAGGAGCACTAAATGCCAATAAAGAGAAAGCGCAGAAGGAATGGCCGCACTCTCTTTATGTGCTTTCCCTCTGTTGACATTTGGTGTGGTGTTTTATGTTGGCTGGGACGAGCACATTGAAACATTCTCTTCATTCTCTGACAGGTCTCGTCCTCCTCCCCCAGCCTGTGACTGGACAGCAAAAGGAGAAGCAGCAGACTGATGAGCTCATCTCTAGGTGGACTCTGCTTTCGGTCAGCAAATTAACTGATTGGCTCCTTATGCTGCTCCTCTTCCAGTATGAGCTCTGCTGCACAGGGACTGCAAGGGGTCGATACTGGTTAACATTCGGGCATTTACAGAGCTGCAATAATGGGGTTCGTTACATCTGCATGGAGAGCTCAGCTTTAAAGCAAATTGGAAAAATAAAAACAATAATCACCCCATCAAGTGAACGATCATTTTAAACAATTAAATCTGTAATCAACTTGGCATTACATGTATGACCAACATGAGCAACCATGACGACCCATGAGGAACCACAAGGAACCACGAAGAACTATTAACACCCACGTAGAACCACCACAGACCCACGACCGACCCGTCAGGATCAGAACCACCGGGACCCACGGCCGACCCGCGAGGAACCACCGGGACCCACGGCCGACCCGCGAGGAACCACCGGGACCCACGGCCGACCCGCGAGGAACCACGAGGAAATTCTCTGATCGGTTTACAGACAAATGTAAGAACAAATGATAGTTACATTCTACAAACTGAAACAAACTCAATCGGCAAATTTCAGATTTTTGCAGCCTATCTGGAAAGTCCTGGGTGGCCCCGATCCCAGCATCAGTGGGGCCCTTTGTTGTCAGTAGTACACACAACCCTGAAAGTCAGTGAAATCACTACAGGGGCCCTTCATCAATCACTCACAACCAGGAGCAAAGAGATTACATTTAGCTCAATGGCTGGTATTAACTGAAAAGCTGTGGAAGTGGCCCTGTCACCGATAAGGGGCCCCTACTCCAATGACAGCAGCACTTCCTGAAATGTGCTGTACAAACTATGAGGGGGGCATCAGTATCCACCCTAGGGGCCCTTCCTTATGATCTGGAAATATGGCTTCCCTGGACACCTGCAGGAAAGATCATAAAAGGACCCGATGATGAATAACAGGTGACAATGATAAAAGCCCCATGACATCATGGGGCCACTGGGATGTCATAAAAGCCCCATGTCATGGGGCCCCTGGTATGTGATAAGGGACACTAGGGATAATGGGCCTCACTGACAATGATGACAAGGGCCCCTTAGATGACCACTTTATTAACACCCCAATAATAAGGGGCCCCTACAATAATTATAAATAGAGAGCTATTCTCACTGACAATGAAAAGGAAACAGGGCTCCTATAATGCCAACAGTTAGATCCCCTCCAGTACAAACCGAGAGGTTAGGGGCCCCAGTGATAGTACCGCCTGGATAAAGCATAATAAGTGGTCCCTGGGATAAACATAGAGGTTAGGGGCCCCAGCGATAACGAGGGTCCTCTATGATAATTGTCCTCACTAACAATGTTGACAAGGGGCCCCTGAGATAACCACCTAACACCCTAATGATTAGGGACCCCTAAGATAATCATAAAGGAGAACCCCAGGAGAACCATTATTGCCAAGGGCCCCAATGACGATACAACAACTTGTATGATGACAGATGCTCCCACTGACAATGATGGACATGGGAACCCTTTAATGTCAACAGTAAGGGCCCCTTAACAACCTAATGGAGAATCATTATGTTTAGGGGCCCCACTAATGATAGATCAATATTTACAATGTTCTCATTCTAACAATGAGGACATGGGGCCCCTGTAATGTTAAGGGCCCCTGAATAAGAAGCTTTATAAAGGGTTCTTAGGATGATCACAGTGGTGAGGGGTGTCAGCGATAATAAAGAGACTTCTATGTCTATAGGGGTCCTCACAGACGATAAAGAACCCAATGATGCATAAGGGCCCCTAAAAATTAAATATGCCCACAATAAAGGGGTCCTAAGTTAACAATGGTTGGGGTCCCGGTCATTACAGCAGAGGGATTGCTGCCATGAGGATAACAGGGGGTCGCCACTAATAAACAATAATAAAGGGCCCTGTGACAACAAGGGGCCCCTATAATAATAATAACAGCAAGAGGCTTCAGATGATATAACCATCCCTATGATGACAAGGGGCTCCTATGGTCACTATGGTTAAGATGATGATAAGTTAGGCCCTCACTGACAATGGTGATAATGGGCCCTATGATAACAGGGGCCACTGTGATGTTAACAATGCTGAGGGTCCCAACAGTAGCGATAATCACCCCTATGACATCCAGGGGCCCCAGGGAGGACAGTGACAATGAGGGCCCCCCACAGTGGGGGTGATAACAGGAGTTCTCACTGACAACGATGATGATGATCAGGGCCCCGGTGACGGTGATCAGGGCCCTCATAGAGCTGTCAGGCCCGGGTCCCCAGCTGATCCGAGGCCACCGGGCGGTCAGAGCTCCTCACCTCTCGGGGGACGGGCTGACCGTCCTCTCCGGGAACCATTCTACGGTCGGCGGGTGGCGTCAAACGGGGAACATGCTGAGCGAAGACCCTGCCAGCAGCAGACGCAATCAATGGAGAAATGGCCGCCGTAAGACTCGCGAGAGCACAACCCATGTCATTTCCCGGCCCGTGAGCTCCCGTCGCCATGGCGACGCCAAGCTGGGAGTACCAAGATGGCGGCGTGTTGCTTGCTTAGAACCCTATAGGCGGCCATGTTGTTACACCCACACTGGCACAGTGTGAGAGAGAGACAGGGACCCCTGCTGCTGGGGCCATGTGACATCCTGTATAATAATAATAATACAAAATTTAGTGACTGCATCACCTTAAAGGGACCCTGTCACCAGATCATTCATTTCAACAACAATCTTCTGACATGATTTTAAGTGCACTTAGAGTGTTTCTATGCCCAAAACTTTTTGTTAGTTTTGGATAGCATCCAGAAGGATTAGAGCTCCTGCCAGGGGCTCTGCTGGAGAGATTTTGTCACTTCCTGTCTGGTAAAAAATAAATAAATAATTAATAATCTAGAGGACAGGATGTGAGAGGAAATCTCTCTAACAGCAGCACAGGCAAATGTAATTCTTTTAAAAGTTAAGTAGGGGAATACTTGAACATCTGTCAGTTTTTGTTTTTGGTTTCCATGTTCCAGATTTTCCCTCACTTCCTGTCTGGTAAACGTTTGTCCCTAAATCAGCAAATGAGAGTAAGTTTCTCTAACGCAGCCACAGATAGCATTAGAAACCTGACGGGGGATCAAACCTTTTCCCCCATTGTATTTAAAACCAGAAAATATATATATGTTTTGGGTATAGAAACACCTTTTTATGCATGTTATTTATGTGTAAAAGCCTTCTTTGTGTAGACATCCAAAATCCCTTGGACTTCTGCGGGGGGCCGCCATTTTGAATGTGACATCAGTGCGGAGTGACATGATTTCACTCTCCTCATCCTGCACTCCTCTCCCCCTGAGTGTGTGCAGCAGCAATGGCCTGCGCCAACCTACACCATAGCAACGTACAATCATTGCACCAACAGAGCTCTGCAAGGCACCCACAGCCCGACGCGCTGCAGGAGAGCAGATTGCCTCCCAGTGCCTCATGCTGTGACCGTGTGCGGCACACTAACTACATCCTAGGTCCCATCAAAGTGCCCACCAGTGGCCCAACACACTGCAAGACCGAGAGGGAGACTGGAAAGAGGAACAAGAGTCTTCTCGGAGGCCTAGTCTGGTGGTAGATGACTGTGTGCTATGTTATATTTGTGGAAAGGTGTTTGTAAAAAAAAAACACAATCTGCCCCATGATAGGTTTAGAATCTCTGTCTGGTGGTCACTGCTATCTGGGGCTCTATTTCCTCTCACTTCCTGTCCTGCTGTCAATGCTTTTACCAGACAGGAAGTGAGAGAAAATCCTCAACAAAGACATAGCAATTAAAATCTGACAAGGGTTCTGGCCTTCCTCTAATCTACTAAAAATAAAGCTTTTTTCGTCTATGTCTGTGCTGCTATTAGAGAGTTACCCTCACTTCCTGTCTGGTAAAACGATATCAGCGGGACAGGAAGTGAGGGAAATTCTCTAATGGAGTCACGGATAATAAAAAGAGAGGGCAAATTTCCCTGGTGAAGACACAAAAGCATAACAAACCAGACAGGGGTTCTAATCTTTCTTCACTCTATCCAAAACAAAACAAAATGTTTTTTGACTGGACATGCACTTTAATAACGGTGGCAACATGGACTATTTTTACCAGACCAACCACGCCATTAAAATTCTAGCCAGGTGTCAGCCCTGCCACCGACATTGGTGGAATAGCGGCGAGCCGTTCTATAGCCAGCACCCTCGGAGCGTTTATCTGAGCGGGAGGCCGTCTGGCCTCGCCATTCGGTATTGCTGCAGATGTCACTACCTCTGACACTTGAAACTAAAGATGGCCACAGATATGAATACCCTTACTCCATTGGACAGAATGTCTGTAGGTGTCACCTGACCGCGACATACATGTCCCGGCTAAACCTTTGTGCGCGGACAGTTGATTGGCCGTGTTAGTTTTACCTAACTTACCACTAATGTTATCCGCTATGGTAGGGGGGCACCCGCTATGTCTGCAGACCCCCCCCCCCCCCCCTCTCCCCCTATAAAAAA